ATATTATCCTCCCTGGTTTTCCCGAGTTTTTTCGGTGTCACAAGTCATGTCACCCTATCAGCCGCGCTTATGTTCCCATCAAATTGCTTTGCGATCATCACAGCGAAACAAATTTAAATTTGAATCTCGGGTAAATTACAACGCTTATTGAATCCCACATGATCTGTACACACAGTGGATGGCGCGATGATTTATGCCTCTTTCTGCGGGTCATTCCTTGTTGGTTTTGGCACGTACGTTGCCTCTTCTTCCGCGTGCCATTCCGACCGGTTTGACCCGATCGCGGCGCGAGATGTGTTGATCGACAGCTCCGACGTTGTGGCATTCGGTGGGTATCTTTCCCGTTAGCTTCGGATTGTCTGTCGGGCTGTAATTGTCAATTTGCTCGTTTCCGGTGGCAGTCGCGAGGCACTTCCCGCAGCTGTGTCTACGCGTCTGGTCGGATGAGCCCCATTCTTGATTCGGTCGCTAGACAGGACTCTTTTTGTACTGCCTTCCATCACAGTATTACATGGGTGGTTAGATTGATTTGGTATTTTATATAAAAGGATCATGCCATCCTCCCCCCACTCCGTATTCGACGATATTCAGACGAATGGAATCCGAGAATGTGCAGCCTTTCATTGCAAGTTTTAGATTATAACCCTTTGGTCATTTCGGTTGCTGATCTCTGCGAACGTTCGAGTGTCTTTTGGTCGCGAATTAGTCATGGATTCCACGCCTGTGTAGCATACTCCGTGTGTGGTCTAATGTATGCTAATAGTAATAGGTCTGTTTCGAATGAACGAAGAGCACGTTTCAGCAATCCAACGTGCCCTATGGCCATTGATGACGCGATTGCGCAATGTGTGGAACATCCCAAATCCTCATAAACAATAACTCCCAGATCCTTTTTCCTTTGGAGAAGGCGGTTATGACTCGGTTCCAAGTGTAGAAAGCGAATCTTGTAACGCAACATTACAACCTCGCATCTCTCTATGTGGATTTCGATGTCATTGGTGACAGACCATCGGTAAGCTGTATCGAGAGTTTCCTACAGGGTTTTATAATCTGCAGGAGGTTGTACCGTCCTCCATGTGTTGGCGTTCTCAGCGAATAATAATGCATATTCCGTAAGGACAGCTGGTAGGTCGTTTATGAATGCTAGGAAAAGGTACGCATCCTTGCGGAACTCCACAGACAGCCTCGATCGGTCCCGATAGAGAATAATTAACTCGAACTGATACAGCAAGTTGTTAAAGAAATTCCTCAATCCCGTAAAGCAGCAGTCCTCTGACACCGTAATTATGGAGCTTTCGAAGCACTTTACGGTAGTTAACCCTGTCAAAATCTTTGGAGAAGTTTAAGTAACCTATGTCTACTGTCTCTTCTGTGTCGATTGATTTCGTTCACTCATTTCGTGGAAGTAGCAGATTTGTGATGCACGAGCGTTTCTTCGAAACCCGTGTTGGAGCGGCGAAAGAATTTTGTTCTTCTCGAAATGATGCATCAGAGAAGAGAAAAAATCGAGTTCATTACTTTTGACAGAACTGTACGATAGTTCGCAGGATCACCTCTGCAGCCACCTGTGTATATAGGTGAAATGATATTGTGTTTCCAGGACTGATGGGATCTTCGTTTTGTCAAACATTCTTTGATACAATTGAGCAATTATTTCAGATATGTGATTTGCCGGGGATATGAGGGTCTGTAGGCGGATGTTGTCTTCAACTGGAGATGAATTCCTACGCAGTATCACTAATTTGGATTTTATCGTTTCAGATTTGAAGTTAACAGTGATCAACTGAGAGTATGAGACACTTGGTTGAAGGTATGGAAGCTGTAGTATGACTTTGTCATTTGCAACGACACTTCAGAGAACTGAACTTTTAGGTATTCAGCTGCTTCAGAAGTACTAAGGGAAACGCGTCCTGTATGCCTTAGTGCCCGTATTCCACTTTTCTGGTGGCATTGGTATGCTTATATAGCAGTTTTGTATTGGAAATAAATTTCTGTGCTAGGGTTTCTTGAAACCTCCGTCCAGCCCCTCGCACTAACTTTGCACAAAGATTTCCCAATGTTATACAGTTATCCCAAGTGTCGACGGTTGGACATCTTTTGAACTCTCGCCAGGAGAAATTCCTCTGTGACATCCGTTTCTTCTTTGTCTCAGCGGGTAGGTGATAATCGTGTAGGTGACGTAAGGAAGGCTTGGTTTTCGTAGCAACCCTTATGCGTAACGTTGGAGCGTCGATGAAACTTTTCCAGGACTCAAGCGGATCTAGCTGCACTTTTGGTTGAGTCCATGGTTTGAAAGCAGCAAGGTTCTGCAATTCTCTGTAGACAATGAAGTTGCCTGTGTTGGTTTTTAGGCATACTTCTATCGAGGTGTGGTAAATGTAATCGAAAAGCAGAACTGCATGGTCGCTTCGACCTAATGGAGCCGTTATTTCAACCAATTCGACCATAAGCTTCTCGCTTTTCAATACCAAATCTAATGTTGATGGTAGGTGGCCTGTTCTTTTACGCGATTATAGATTGGATGAGTCTATAAACTGTGATACATTTCGATCGAATGGGTGGTGATAGTTCTGGCGTTTTTATAAAATTGGGGCAATTGAATTCTCCCATCATGAGAACACGAGTGCACTTTACTGAAACAGTCTGCAACAGTGCCTCGTTAGCTAAGCTTGAGGATGCAGTGGAGAGGTAGACTACATCGATCAAACGATTGCTGTCTTTGGACAGCCTCAAAGTATATTGGGAACTGCATCGAAAAGATTAAGTGGTTCACATTGTAGGTGGCCGCGAAAATATAGCAGCATACCGCCACTTCGTGCAGAATGATCACGTCTCAGCAGAGACATTCCGAGTAAGTGCAATCCAGAGTCGAGAATATCGGCAGTCAACCAAGTTTCGGTAGTGGTAACAAGATCCCACTGACCAGTTAGCAGGCGCAGTTGCACATCGGGGAATTTGCCACTCATTGGGTGCACGTCTATGAGTATATAACGCAGTCCAGTGACCAAGCACTTCCACTTGTCTCTCCCTCCCTCAGTGAAGTTGCTAGCTACTGGTACATGCAGATAGCTGTCAGGATGATGTGATTAATTGGTCCCCGTATGTTTTGTTGACGCATGTTGCAACTGCGGTACAGAGACTTTGGACTCAACATGTCTCCCAGAGCCTGAAATTCAATCCGCTCGCAACCAGAGTCCTCGGTGGCAGCACAAAACAAAAGAATCACGATTTGCCTGAATGTCACTCACATGGATCAATACGATTCGAGTAGTGAACTTGAAGTGATTCATCGTCCCGGTTATAGCTTCGGATGTTGGTCTTTAGTGTTCTCACTTTAATGGGGAAACATCTCCGCCCTGAGAGAGTGAGTAGGGCTTCCTCGGCT